GAGAGGGGTTAGTGTAAAACAACTTGTACACCTCCATGTCAGCCCTCACCAAAATAAAGTGGATGGCTCAAAAGCTTGATTTTAATCAAGTTTAACCTGTCACAGCTCTGCAGTAATTCTATTTATGAGTATGATTTAGTGAGAATTGTGCAACTTAAAAAAGATAGTCATGCATTGTGAATTATGTTGAATTTACTAATTCATCCAATAAACGATCTATTTTAGAAACCGCTACCATCCTTAAGTGTGTAAACAGTAGGACTGTTTAAGGCACCCAGATAATCAAGCAAACAAACTGTATGTAACAAACATGTTGCATTGAGTATGACTGTATATGTATGTACAGTTGGGTCCATAAGTATAGCGATAAGCTTTGAGCAAATTGAAGCCTGAAGTAAAAACACCTTATTTTCTGTTAAATTTTTGCAGCTATAAGCAGTATTTTCCTTGTGTATTGTATTGTGAGACAGGTGTCAATTTGCCTCATTTAACAAACTACCTGACATATGAGTAGATCTAATGTCCCTTTTCTGAAATGAATAGAATGCCTTCTTGAAAGTTTGTAAAATATCAAGTTCACATTTGTATTGTTATGAAATTGTCAAATATTGCATTAATTTGTAATTATTGATCATCATCACTTTCCATTTTTAGCTATTCTTATTCATTTATATATTTTTTATGAACTTTTTATTGTTCCCATTGCAGCCTCTCTTATTAAAGTACCTGCACTATTTACATGTACTCTTCAAATGTAAATAGAGTTTCCAGGCAAAACAGACCATCACAAATATACTTCTTTACAGCAGACATTTTGACTTGTCATAGCAGGAAAAGCACAGATAAAACAAATTTAGTTTAATAGTGTCTCAGAGATGTAGGACAGTGAGCGAGCATGCACAATACCAGAACCCTGAAACACAGTGAAATAAACTGAATGCAGTCATTTTTATTTTCATTGACATCTATTACACCACAACTTTTCCTGCTTTGACATACCAAAATATCTGCTATGATAAAGGTCAACTGCAGGCACTGTAGTAAATTCAATGAAATGTTTAATCAGTACTGAGTAGGAGGATGACGTACTGAGTATCACGAGATCATGAGACAGCACGGGGATATTCAATATGGTGAAGCACAGTCACTGACAATAAAGAAACACTACGCTAACTATTTTTCGGACTTTATAATCCACTACTAGTATTACACAAGCAATCTATCAAACCGGATACAATACAGACAAAACAATAGACGAGCAAACATCACTGTGGACAAATTATACACTGAAGGACAGCTGTACTGACAGTCTAAAGTCACTCCATGGCTCTTCTGATCTCCCACATTACATCCAACAACCAGTGACTGACCTGGATGCTCCATTGTTACCTTGTCTGTTGTACCATGCTTGTTTTGGTTGTGTACAGTGGGGCAAATAAGTATTTGGATACACTGCTGATTTTTCAAGTTTTCCCACTTACAGAGAATGGACAGTTCTGTAATTTTCATCGTAGGTACACCTCAACTGTGAGAGACAGAATCTACAAAAAAATTCCAGTAAATCACATTGTTAGATTTTTAAATAATTTATTTCCATTTTACTGCATGACATAAGTATTTGATCACCTACCAACCAGCAAGAATTCTGGCTCTCACAGACCTGTTAGTTTGTCTTTAAGAAGCCCTCCTATCCTCTACTCATTGCATA